GCCAGGACATCGTCTCCAAGCTCAACCGTTGGTGTGTCTCGACCAAGAGACGCGTGTGTTCGATCGTAGCCGTCTTGTACGCGTCCCATCGTGGCTCTCACGTGAAGAGACGACAGAGTGTAGGCTCATGTCATGTAGGGCGGGTGAGCAGTCGAACTCAGAGGATGGAAGCTCCATAAAGTCGATTTCAGCATCGGAACTGGAGAGCAAGTCCAGAAGTATCATGAAGGTCCCGAGAAGTTCGTCGATGCTGACGGTGGTGCCATCGCCGGAGGTATACAAATCGGCCGTGTCGGTGCAGTTGCTTTGTGTGGTACTGGAATCGTCTCTATGTATGCCCTCAGCCTTGAAGATGTCTGTCGCGAGATCTTGTAGGCAGACCGGAGCCAGCGCATCGACCCGCCCCTCGAATTTTGCCGCGCCGGTGGGTGCCTTCAGCTCCAGGTGGACGCTTGGAGACAAAGGTGGCTCCAGCGCATGGCTGGTCATCGAGAAGCCTGAGGAGCTGAGAACGGTTTCCATGGCGAAGCTGAAGTGCGTGAGCTCTGATGGAGATGCCAGGAAGAAGTTTGGATTCGGCTCGGGTTGAGGGGCGCACCCCTCGTATAAATGTTCCGACACCCTGCGTGTCACGAGGTGGCCGGTCTCCATGCGGCCAGGTCACGACGTCACGGGATACAGCCCAGCTGTGACAACTCTAAGTATGGCTCATTGTAGTCGCGGCATCTCCCGGTGACCCAGAACTCCTCGCCGACATGAGGATCAGGTGTCTGCCCCCATTTCCATTCGAACATGCTCTTGCTAGGTTCATCCTCCACCTTTCTTCTCTTACCCCACACAGCCACCACATCTTTCGAGCGTTGTCTTTTTGCGTCGCATTCAGGCCTTGTCGTGACCACGGGTTGGGCGTATGTTGCTTGCCATGGTAGCGCAGGGCGTGATTGCTCCATGACGCAGGGAACGCACTTATGCGGCAGGGGTCTCTGGTGCGCCGACATTCGGTATAATCAAATGGCTCCCGAAACGTGTCTTCGTGAGACTTAAGGCGTTGACGATGTGTAGATATGCGCAGAGGTTTTGCATGCAATGAGAGTACGACTTCCCATCAGACAATGAAAGGTCACCCGATCGCATGAGTGCGCCTCACCACTACGGAAGTTCGAATTGACTTGCCACGTCGAACTGGCACCACCAAGAGATGGAACATTTACTCCGCAGTGGCTGCATTCCGGTCTCCCGCCGCTGAGAACGCCTCTTGGCACAGTTGCAAGAATTCCACCATGCTGAGTTCAAGAGGCATGGCAGACAGAGGATCCAACACAGGTACGTCTGCCGCATTGGAGTCACTGTCCAGCGACTCGAAATGCTGGGTGTTGCTGAAGAAGGGATCCCATGAGAAGCTGGCATGAGACTCACTTCGGGAATGTGCCAGACTGAGATGTGGCAGCTCTCTGTCATCTTCTGTGTGCGAGAGTGGATTTGTCATGTCGGAGCCCCAGAACGTTCCGTCGCTGAGAGGTTGACTGGGATTGTCGCTATTTCTCTTCCGTCCAAGAGGCGGCTGGGTCATATCGTCCGAAGGACCGACCAGGAGTACTCTGGAAGCATACCAGAAGATGAAAGACCATTCAGAGAGATCGAGAGAAAGCCCGCATTTATATACATTCGACGGGTTCTGCCTGGCCTCATATATGGCCGCAGAGCCCTACCACCACGCCATGGCGAGACGTCTGCCCAAGTCCCCCTCCCCCGCCGGTCCAAAATAAGCACCCGCCGCCCTGGCCTATCCGGGCTGTCCCATGTCTCACCTGCCTTCAGTGGTGGCAGTTGCCTGTCCAGGCAACTGCAACTGCCTAAACAAGCAAAACTTTTCATTTGTGTATAGAGATGCCGATGGCTTGCAATATTGGAGTTGGAACTCCTCAAGATAATTCTCATCAATTAACTGCATGCCAAATATGGGCTGACGTGGACAAGAGATTGTCTGACACGGGCCCTTCTGCCATGAAAGCGGCCTTACCGTACCCCTGAGGCGCCCGTCGAATTGCAGTTCGATTCTGTGTCCGGGCCGAATGCTGTTATCCACGAGAGGGACGCTTCGTCGATCAAGGGCCACGTATGATCGACGAAGCCGCCCTAGGCACATGCCCTAAGTAATTTCCGCGCGTGAAAGGACGGTGTATGCAAGACACTATCTCTGATCCACGCCTTAACCTTGATCACGTTTATCGTTGATCACGACCAGGCTACGATAATCTCCTCTGTGCTCCATGGCTTCAACTCTGTGCCATTCCAATATTATGCTGTGCCATACCAGTACTGCGTCAATTACGACGAGGTTCGCATTGAGTGAGTCATCTTGCCTGCGCCGCTGCGCTACAATACGGGCAGAGAGCTGGCGGCAGCTCACTGCTCGGAGCTACGACTGGTATTGCCCTCGACGTGAATCGTCCTTGGTCGTCGGCTACCTCCTGACGGATTAGATTGGTCCCAGCCTTGTTCGAGAGCTGGTGCGCGACAGCTTGGCGCGTCATGGTACTATTTAATAGCCCTTCCGCGACCATGTTGTACGTGTCCACGTCATCTCTGGATGAGAGGGCGTCAAGAATTATGTTGTTCTGCTCCTCCCGCCTCCTCAGATATTCAATCTCGGCTCGAAGGTCTTCCTCTTCCTGGTAACTGTCGACAACGCAGTACTGCCCCTCCGCTGCACACCTGGTGCGTGGCTTCTCGCCGGTGCACTAGAGGGACCATAACTTGTTAATCCAGGCATGTGTACGGCTAAGGCGCCTTATGCGTCAAAACTCGTGGCTCACCTTGTCTCGATTTCTGCGGCAGTGCTGACAGCCCGGCAGCGCTCGATGTTCCCAAGTCATGGCTTTGCGGCCTGTTGCTCTCCTGATACAGTGCGGGATAACAGTGCACAGCATGCATTAGATGGTACTCACTTTGATTGGGAACGCTGGAGTGGTGGAGGAGCGCGTCGTGGCAGATGGACACATGCACACCCACAAATATGTATTCTGACTGCTCGTGCCATTTCTGCTTACCTCGTCATCTGGTGGTAACCTGGCTGACAAAAGATGTGCATCGCCTCCACAATAACTGCATGATTTGTGGACATGAGATCGTGGCGGGCGAAATACTCCGCCTACGCCGGGCCACACACGGATGAGCATCCAAACTGTAAATAGCCTAGCGCGACACACCTCAGCCTGGGAGTGACTTCCCTCCGAGCGTGAGAAATCCATTCCATCCGTTGCTCTGCTGTCATAAACCTCGTCTGCTGCAAAGTTACTGTCCCATCTAAGTCATGGGATCTGCCAGTGTTCCCTGATGGATACCGTATTTCCAACTCTCGATGATGTTCTCTCAAACAGCTCCCCGCCGCCTTGGACATTACACGCCTTCGCTGCCCACCTCACCCAGCACCATTGCCTCGAGGCTCTTCATTTTATACTCGACGCGGAGAATTACGCTATATCCTACGGAAACCATATGAATATGAGCATTAAATCACCCAAAATTACAGATTCTGTTCCTATGCTCTGGCGAAAGCTGATGCAGGCTTACATTCGTTCCTCTGGCCTGCAACAACTTAATATTCCTGAACCGGAGCGAGAACATCTGCTGAACCTCACGTCCGAGCCTCCGCCTCGCCCCTGTGAACTTCATGAGGCCTGTAAATGCGCCTACGATCTCCTGAATGATTCCTTAGCAGCATTTCTCTGCGCTCCTCAGGCTCCCACAGGGTCATTGCAAGTGCCGTCGGAGCATTCCGATCAAAGGTCGCAGCTTCAGGCTAGTGAAAGCGGCAACACGTCAACGCATCTCAGACACAGCCTCTGTGTCCCAGAGTCGGAGGTTCTAGTGAGAGAAGAAGTCGGAATCTCGGAATCTGCTGGATTCCTTGCAGGCCCAGGTCCAGGATGGTTTCGGCACATGTTCGCTACAGCTTCCCAGTTCTGCAACAGAGTAACTACAGTGTTGGGTTGTACGCACAGAACATAACACATCGCCAGTTTCGAATACCGCCACAGCGCCCGGCGCTACCTGGCCAAGAAGTTGGACGTTTATGATCAGACTGACACGAGCAGTGCAGGCTCCAGGGATCGTGGAGTACTGTCGGCTTGGGCTCTCCTCCACACACAACCTTGGCTTTCTCGCTCGCAACGTCGTCTTTGGCGACTTTATATGCGACTGGGGCCCGAGGGAAATTGCGGTCGATGTGGTTACACCGCAAGTGGTCCAGTAGCCGCCTGAGAGCAGCGAAACTGCGATGGTTTGGCAGAGTCCGAGGCATCGTCGACCGCACGGCCCTGTTTGTGGTCCGTGCCGCCTCACAGCCGGTTCCACTTTGCGGGGCTGGCCCGACGTTGATGGGCACGCTCGTTTGGATTAGCGTGGTCTGAATTCGGTGCTGTGATTGAGTGGGTTGTCCGGAGGTGCTCCGTTGCAGACCTTGGATCTACTGTTCTGATTGGTTTGTGATCAGGCATGTCTGGTGCTGAAACCATTTCGACGTCAATCAAATGACATGACGGAGGGTTATTTTGGCTATATGATGATGAATGAAGTTCGCGCAGGTCATACGCCCAAACGTTGTACCTTTGGTTCTTACTCTCTCTTAATATCGATGCGGCTCACAGCCATGGCACGAACAACCATGGGAAAGGGTCATATCCAGCGACCAATACTGCCCCGACTGCTCCCAGCTGGGGGGGGGGGAATCCGCCTGCATCGGACGACATAATGAAGCGACCTCAACAGAATCATCGGAAATTCAACATTGTTCGCGTCACATGCGGACCCTGCCGGAAGCGCAAATCCAAGGTATAGGATACCTTTGGCTTCCAAGCTGATTGCATACGGACATGCTTCGAGGTAACTCGGCTGACCGGTGCGTCTAGTGTGATGCTCAGCACCCAAAATGCAGCGGCTGTGTCCGTCGCCGGGTAGAATGCCAGTATGAGACATCGAGAGCTGAGGGAAGCCGATACGAGGCATTGGAGAGGTCGTACGAAGACGCAAAGCTTGAATTTGCTGCCTATAGATATTTGCTCCATATTCTTACGACCTCATCGGAAGAGGCATCCCAGGCAATTATCCGGCGAATAAGGAGTGGTGCCCGTATACCATCTATTCATCGCTCTGCCTCGGAAGCTAGGCTGGTTCTCGAAGTGCGAGATGGGAATTAGGACAGACGCGGATGCTCGCTACCATGACGTGCTCGCAGTCTCAGTGGGAGCATATGGCCTAACAATAGACCGGGACGAGAAGATGCGTTTTTGCTTGAGTCGCTGTGCATACGAAATGAGACGCAGCGCAGATGGCATACTTGCTACTGTGGGCATGCCGTTGTGCTTGATGCTAGAACGACAAAAGGGCCATGCTCGGATTGTGCAGGATCATTTCTGAGACCACACTGGGGATAAAGACTGCCTGCATTTGACACCTTTGGACTGTCCGGAACATTCTGTCGGTACTACTTTGGTGCCTGCAACGATGAATAGTCAATCCTTCGTGCGTTGCGCATGTCCCAGCGCGGAGGGTAAAGTCCGAGACTATTCCCACGTCCGATCGAAGTGTAGTGACATCAGACTGTCGTAATTTTAAGTCTTCGGCACAGGTCAGTCACCGACGCAAACAATACAGGCGAGCACTTTTTCCTATTAAGCCCATATGCGAGCAACCTTTCCCACCATCTGCCACAAAGCGACATGGATCATTCCTGAGCTTTCCATGGGCATTCTGCTACAGTCATATACGCTTTGAGGGGTACTGGCCTCAAACAAGAAATGCCTCGAAGCGACAAGGCGAAAGTCACAAGTGGCATTGTGAGACTTGACACCAACGCAAACACTTCGGCGGACAATGGTGACGACACGTGGTGCACTTGGTGCACGTGTCATGATCAAATCGATACCTGCAAATTGGATCGTCTAGAGCGTTTGCCCACCGGCCCGCACGAAGAGTCGTGGGATAGTCTTGAGGCTGAGTTGAATGACCTCACGAAGCACGAGGAGCAGAACGACGCTCTACTGGGCGCCCTGTCGACTACTGCCGATAACGATAGCTACAGCCTGGTTGCCGACGGACTTCTGCATAAGAACAAGACGCGCCAGGAGATATTCAATCTGCTCATTGCCAAGAGGAAGGCCAGTGCATCCCATCCCGAGGCAGATAGTGGGCTGGCCTGCTCTGTATCCAAGGGCACGTCAGGTACTGAAAACAATATTGGGCGTTCGCCTGGCGTGTGCGGGCACTGCAATCAGCAAGTTTGCGTCATTCGAACCGCAAATTTGACGAAGGACGTGACGGAGATTGAGGGCAGCGAGCGCGGACAGCAGCTACAACGCAGAATATATGACAAGCTTAGCTAGACTAGAACAGCTTATCCGTACGGGCGGCTGCGCTAGGAAGGACGACGCGATGGAGAGCTGTTGCAGGTATATGGTGTCTGGTCAGGAAAAGAACGCAGCTGAGCTACGTAAATGTGCATTTCCCGGGCCAATCTTCTATGTTGTGTTATACAGTCGTGTACGCTTTCCTTCTAGATCCACAACTTGGCCGATGTATTGTTGATTCAATGCCAGCAGGTGCATACTGGAAGGAATGCAAGTAGCAGACTGGACTGATGACAGGAAGATGAATCGTGTAGAAAACACAGACGGCAGGCGAGGGAATCAAATATTTGATCTGGCTTTCGTTCGAAGTCGCTCTTGCTAGGTTATAGCACGACGTTGGACCGATTACAGGGCACTCACTACTTGCCAAAGGCGAAAACATTGATCTCTCCATATTGCTGAAAATGCGGTCCTTCGCTCTTGAAACTTTAATTGGATGGTCGTGCGTCAACTTACATATTGCCCCCGCAACGAAACGGGATACAGCATCTTGCACCGTAGTACCTACTGGGTGCTACGGTGACGTTCGTGCATACCATCATAAAGCGTACGCCACACTATACGTGGGAGAAAACTACTGTGCAATCGTACCGCAATTCCAACCTGCCCTCCATGTCGCAATTGTTGTCGAGGCCTCTTTACGAATGATCTGCATTGTGACTTCCATACGACAGACGTGCCTCCTCAATTGCTGCCAGGTGCCCTGTGAAGCATGCCATCCGCGAGGAAAGCCGCGGAGTGCCCGAAGCTCATCTTGGATAGTAGCAACCGTGCGTGGGTCACTATTGGCATCTTTATGGGCATTGGCTGCGGCGATGGCCGGTTGTGTTGCTCGCCGCTCGACTTGTGGCCGTAGTGCGATTCCAAGTCCACCGGGTCGTCATCAGGCTCTTTCTTGATCGTCTCCTGTGGTGATTCAGTCGTCTTGGCCAGGCACCCATCGTTGTGACCATGTTGGGGTATGGGAACAGCATCGAGTATGCCATGTCCGGGCTCCTCGACCGCGAGGCTCAAGAGACCCGACGCACACACAAAGTATGGCATCAGTGGAGACACCGTCCGCAAACCGAACGTGTCGACATATGCCTCTGAGAGCCCAAGAATGGACTGCGCAGCCCGCAAACAGATCTCGCGCGGATGCACATGAAGCCCCGCGAGATGCATGCTAACGTACGGCCTGAAAAGGGAAAGCTGGCAAAAATGATAATACATGCTACAAAATAATTAGTTCCGTACTTGTTTCACTGGTCCGTGCGGACATGTATACGCCCGTATTGGAAGACGTATGCTTTTACACGTGAACGGGCCTGGGAGATTATGTGTGGGCTCTTACTGGATGAAAGCCACAAATGGCGAGCTGCTCCCGTCTGCTGCGAGCATTGCAAAGAAACCCTCGTACCAGTCGAGACACCGACGGTAAACCAACACTACCTCATCGCCCGTAGCCGCCGGTGACCGCACGAGAAGCTTGTATACCCATTCGGTGAGCTGGAATATCTTGGCAGGGACGAGCTGCACGCTCGTGAGCTGAGACCTGGACTCGCCTGCCAGTGTACCTGTATTGGAGCCGTCAGCCCACCCATACTGCATGGTCACGCGCTTCAGCTCATGCTTGCGCTACTGACACAACTCGCTTGACACCGCGGGTGAAGGATTACTAGGCCCATAGGCACAGGGCGGCCAATCAAGAGTAACTCCATCATCCTGCATTATCGTGGTGTGCATCCCTGTGGGCTGTGCTGTTGGCAGTTTGAGTATCCTGCCCAAAACGATCCCAATTAGCACCCCAGTGACGTCGAAAGTAGAAGCAGAAAAGAAGCCGGGACATCGTACCGGACGAGTGATATAGCCCCGCAGTACGTTGTCGAGCGTACCTGCATGTACTGGTCGTCCTGCTTGCCCGCCTCGAAGGGTTCCCGGAGGCATAATTTGGTCATTTCGGCCTTAAATGCCTCCGCAAGCTCCCTCGCCTCAGCCTCGCGACCGCAACTGACTTGGTATAGGGCAAGAATGCCTAGGGTTTGAATATCTGGGAGGGCGCCCATGTGTTCTTTTCCGCTAATGAGGGTTTCAGCCTCATCGAACAAAGCCTGACTGTCCCAACAACCAGAGTGGGGGAATCTGCAATCGGCATCGCTTTTAGCGAGGCAGTTTTGCTGCTCTTTCTGGTGCTGTTGCTGATGAGGATGTTGGCGCTCGTCCAGGATCCGGGTTGACAAGGCGAGGAGTGAGTTGACAAGCGCTGGTGAGCAGTAGCGTCCATCCCCGCTGGCAAAATCTTGCAGAAATGGATCTTTGCAGAGGAGACAGAACGGCAAATAATCCCACGTCAGTAGTGAGTCAAAGCGGTCCCTAATCTTGGTAACAGGCCATCCAGTGCGGGTCCAGGGATCGATCTGCTTCGTCTTTTCCGCCCCGGTCAATGACAGCACCACTGGTACCAATGGAACACAGCCGGCAGCAGAGGCTGGGATCGTGAGAAGGTTGGTTTCGGGCTGCCCGTCCCCTGATAGGCGGCGCTCGCTGGTCGTCCCAGGAGATTCGTTGCTGTCGGTCACGGACGATGTAACAGACAACGCACCGTGACAATGCGGGCACGTCACCGGCCGGATATTGCTGCTGGAGGCTGCTGCGGACGAGGTAGCCGGCGAGTTACGACGTGAAGATGGTGCGATAACGGCGGCTGGGGTGGGCACAGGCTCTCCACGGGCCTTCTGGTGGTTGGGGAGGTCATTGTAGATGGAGTCGCGCGTGACGGTGCTGTCCATGAGGCGCTGTGCCACCGTGTTGTAAGTGTCGGTATCGTCCATGGAAGACAGGGCGTCGAGGAGCGCCTCGTTACGCTCGCCGATGCGCCGCAGTCGCTCAATTTCGGCGCGCAAGTCGTCCTTGGACTCCCGCCGTGAGTGGTCAAAGGCGCACTCGAGACCTGCGTCCTTGCACCTTTGGCAGGGATCCTCACCATCGCACTGCAAATGGTCGGAATCAGCGTCACAAAGTACCCAGAGGCACAAAGTGGATGCGCAGCGCGCAGCGATACACAAACGACTGCCTTGTTGGAGAAGAAGTACTGAGGCTCATTCTAGGTCTTGCTTACCTTCGCTCTTTTCCTCCTGCAGCGCTGGCAGGCCATGCGAACCTGGTGTCGACGGGGCATGCCGCTCTCGCCTCCGCTTTGACGTCAAGGAACACATAAAAAGGGAAGTCAGTTTACTGCGCAATGGAAAGCGCCGGAGTCTCACGTCAATGAGCGAGGGTGACGCGTATTGCGATCTCGCAAGGTAAAAAATGCTGCTGGGGTGCGTGATGTGCAATGTGTGGCGACGTGCGGTCACAGGCTGCAGTCTCCGGACGCCACACATTGTACCGGCCAAGGCTCGGTTGACTACAAATGCTCTGGGGACGGAGCAGGGATCATCACCAAACCAATCACTGCACGTTGCGCTGATCACCTCCCTCCCAGGACATTGCAGCCAGGAATGAGCCACGAAAACCATCAGTCCCTCACAGCCGTTTTGATTGGGCAGGAATGCATATGTCTGGGCGGGGACTGCGACAGAGACATGGGCTTGTCCCTTCCCCGTCCCGCGGAGAAGAGCGGAAACCGGGTTTGCTTTTTAAGATCATATAGAAGGGGTCATGAGTGAAGCATTTCTCCCACTCGGGCAATGGAGAGCGAAGCACTGGCCGTGCCATAAATATAATGAGCCACTAGCAGTGAGACAGCCCCGAAGGCCCGAGCTTCAAGTTACAATTGCTGCACCAGGGCTGCAATGGCTCCAATAGGCCCCTCCAGCGCGTATGTTGCTGACACCGTACTGAGTTTAGATGGCGGGATCCCCGCGAACAAAGTGTGGCGCCATGTCGTCATTGTGACATGTTGCGGCACATGCTTCTGTGGTATTGCGCCATAACGCGGGCGGACGGCCGAAGCTAGCTCGCCATGCGTCCTGTGCTATGATGCGAGGCGGCGGCCGTTGCAGGCGACACAAGCCGTAGCGCATGGACGGAACGATAACCCTTTATGGCTGTGAGACAAGGAGCTCACAGCTTATCGGTGCGGTCTATGCCCGGGTTGCGGGAGGGCCGGCACGCGAGCAAAAATCACCGGCGCGAAGTACTTGCGTCGCGGCGACGGCAGATCGAGGCCCATGATCGCGTCCTACTCTCGCTTCAAGTTGTTTGGCGTATTTTAGACCAACCTGAGCCCCTGGGGCGGACGCTTTGTGGGCTCAACAGTGCTACGAACTGAGTCTGTGCGGCAGGGGTCGCCGTTTTAGCTTTCGGGGTGGTGGGTACGGTAGGGGCTCTGAGCAACAGCGGCCACGCCCTGACCTCACCCAAGCCCCTTGCCCCCGACGCTGAGTCGATGCTGTCAAGGCCATCGTGCAGGCCGAATCAATTGGCATGTGCGAGCAGCGACCACGATTATTCCCAGTATTATGTTGTGCGTCTAAGACGTGATGTTGGATATGTCTTGCAGACCGGGCCGTGAAGACATTGGTCTTGGTGGATGCCGCCCGCTGCACGTCAAGCTACGCTTAGCACAGCGTTGGCACAATGCATAGCCTGTGAAAAGAAGTACGCCCAAACGTACGCTAGTGCATGTCTTGCAACCTGTAACGAAAATAAAGTCGTTTGGTCGTAGTACGCGCCTCCGCTTCGAGTTGCAATCGCCTGCCACATGAAAGTGACTGAACGTATCGTAGCCGCTCCCCTTGGGGGTCAGGACGACCCCGCCTCCAGTTGTGGGCTAGCAATGACAGACAACATGAACAGACCCAAATGGATACCTAACCTACCCGGAACACCTTACCGCACGAACAATCTCGTGACCATTTGAACTCCGTAGCCCGCCAAGAATGCAATTTGAACATCAAGATGGACTCGGTTCGGAAGGTGAGGCTGACGCTTTCAGCTTTTTGGCAACCCACTCCGACGCCGACTCCAGATAGTCTTGGATCAGCCGGCAGTCACAGCTGCCATGCGCCGTAAGCATGTTCTTGAGAAGTAACGACTCCGCCACCAACTCTAATAGCGCCTTCAATAGCCTGCGATGCTCTTGCTCGAGATCCTCGTACTTGGACTTGAGCTTATCCTCCTCTTGCCGCCGCCGCGAGCGGCACTTATTGGCGGCAACACGGTTCTTTTCGCGGACGCGTAGCGCCTTGGGGTCGTCTGCACCGGAAGACTCAAAGTCGCTCCTGGTGCTAGCTCGACGCCTGGACTTAGTGCCTGCGTCCGATTTGGATACTGCCGCGGCATTGGCGGCCGGCCGAGTCTTTCGAGGGCGGCCACGCTTTTTGATCGTAGTCGGTTTCGTCTTCTGCGAGGGCGACTCGGAGGATTGGGTGTTGTCGATAGCCATGCTTTCCGACGGGATACTGTTAATGCTACTGAGCGATAAGTTGCACATGGGACTGCTGTTCGTTCGGGTGTAGAAGGGATCGGAAAAATGCATGCCGTTGTTGCTGCTCTCGCCCATAACATACTCGCCGGCAACTGGGTCGTCCATGGTTCCGTCCAGACATGTCAAGGAGATGTCGTTGCCTCCAAACACCACGTCCGTAGACACTGGAAAGCTCTCATGCTCCTTGATCTTCAAGCCATCATCCAACAAATACGCGCCACCCCACTGACAGCCGAGCTGGTTAAATGAAATCGGCCTGTCGTTCTCGTGGGGTCGTAGGTCGACGGGAACACTTGGTGCCAGTAGCGTTGAGTTCATACCGACTGACGTAATTGTCCAGTGTGCCGACTGCTGGGGTTTTCAACACCAAACTGCCCGCCATGTACCGCTGGGCCTTTGCTGCCGAAAGGACCGTTTTATACCCAACTTTCCAATTGCATAAGAATAGGTGAAAGAAAGAGCCTGAGCTGGCCCGGTCGCGGGACGTTATTACACCAATGAACCGAGATCCATGAGCACGGTGTAAGGCGCCGAGGGAGAGGCAAAGGGATCGCGATTGCAGTACGTTGAGGGGGAAAGCCTTGGGATGGTGCAAAGTCGAGACGAATTTGGCAATAATTGGACCCTTATCCACTTGGTTGACAGGTCGTTTCAATTGGAATTGTCGCCGGCAACGTCTGCGGGGGGAAATGATGAGAAAACGGGTGCCGCGCAGTACGTGATGGACGGACACCGCTGCTGGCGGAAATGAGCGCAGATTGCCCACAGTGCCACCGGACCATTTGCTCCGCCTACAGACGAAGCGTTTGCCTGAGCCGACCCGCCGGGGACCCCTAGGATGAGACTGTTGCTATGCACCTCAAGTCAGGTGGTTACCGTAAGGTGTCTACATCACCTCGGTCAATCGGCTTAAGCGCTCTCCGAGACGGGCGCCACCGCTTCTATACCTTGGCAGGCTGGTCTCATCCACATTACGTGGGATGTTGAAGCGACTCATGCTGCTAGTGCTGCAAGGTTTGCTGTTAATTCCGAAAGGCACCATTTTCCAAGGAATTGCACTTGGAAAGCGTCATACGACCGCTCTGCTCGGGGCGAGCTCTGAGGAAGAGCCTACTTGCAACTTGGTACGGCGGACCATAGCATTGTGCAGGGCGCCAGACAAGCAGGAAAATGCGATGAAGCATTGCTGCTTGAAGGGTCCAATACGGCTTCACACAACTAATAGCTCCTGAAAGGCCATACCTCAGGCGTAGCGCAGCCGATGGGCTGGTCATGTCCATTCTCGCTGAAAGATAGGTGACGTTAACAAGTATGGATGTATCACTCGCCGAGAGCAAACAAAATAAGAAGCATACATTGTTTAAAGCTTATCAAGCCCACTTGCTTGAACTGGCAGAATTCCTCGGTAATCACGCCATACAGCCAGGCTGAGCCAACTCTGCAGATGGCTCATTGTAATCGCAGCACCTGCCGGTGACCCAAAACTCCTCGCCGACGTGAGGATCGGGTGTCTGCTCCTGCTCCCATTCGAATTCACTCTTACTACTCTCATCCTCAAACTTTCTTCGCTTCTCCAACATGGCCACTACATCATCCGAGAGATTCCGCTTTCCTTCACGTCCAAGTCTAGGTCTTGACCATAAGTTAGGCGTGTACGATCCAGTTGACGATCATCTGTTGAAATGCTGCTTTGTCAAACCGCTTGATCAGTAGATTCGTTATTTCCTGGTCACGAGGGACCTCTGGGTTCAATCGCAGCAATGTAGCAATGGACCGAGCGGGCGTTGACGCTGTAGACTTCACCGCTAGCCATTTACCTGAAGGATCGACCATGCCATCGTGATCCTTGAATAGGTGGCTCTCAGCATTCTGCAACCCCTTGTGGTTGTAATTCTTCGGCTTCGGATCCTTCCGTTTGACGCACAAGAAGCAGACCCAGCGGCGCTCCTTGGTTGCGACATTCTGGATGTCGTATCCAAAGCGGTAGACCCATTGACGCGTTTGGCCGTCCCTTTCGGACACAGTCCAACCGCGAAATAAGCGAAACACCCGCTCATCGTCTTCTTCTGTTCGCTCTGGGATCGTTACCGTGCGTTTCTCTTGCGAAGAATGTTCGAGAGTAGGTGGCCGGGGATCGGGCTGATAATCGTCGGCCATGATCAGCCGACTTGCACATCCCGGGATATAAAGAACGCCGGTCAGATCGTGGCAGGCGCTTCGCGGCGAAGTTGACCCACGGTAGTCAGACGCCGGGCGTTGTCAGGCAACTGGCGCCCAAGGAGTGGAAGGCACAGGATTATCATTGACGGGAATGTCCGAAGGAACGTCTTCCATGAGCGTATTTCACGGATTCACCCAATATTTTATTCGGCCGTCAAGCTGCGACGGTGACGAGCTAGGGTGTAGCTAAAAATAGGGGTCTGAGACCTTGGTAAATTGGTTTGCAGATACTTCGATGTTCGCCTATTTGCCGCGTTTAGTGAGGTACTTGTAAACCTCCACTAAAATTCAACGGGCGATCCACAATTTCCACATGTTCCACATGTGGTCGCGCCTTCGTGGAGTGGTAGCAAATCCACGACAGGTTCTGGTGTAATGGAGTGTAATTGATATGGATCCACATGTGAGTCCATATGTGGAATTTCGTGTAGTGGCTTTGAACCCTGTGGAGAAGCAACCGACCGAGGCTGAATTGAAGGCTGACGACGTGGCTCGACGTCGAAGGAAGACGGTGGCAAAGGCTAAGGCCCCAGACTTGGCCATTGCGGGTTTGACAGTAGTGTGCTGGCACAGACCTTGGCGGCGACGCACGTCCAAGGGGGTTGCCAGGTTGCCAGCACTATGTGTGTCAAGATCAGAGTAGCTGCAGCCGCTTGGGAAGGCCAATCAGAATAAAGCCGCCTGCTTGCAGTGTGGGTTGGCTATTGTCTTGTCATAGCGCAGTGGGGCAAAGACACTGGCTGCCACTGTGCGGATCGACTGGAAAGTGGCAAAGCCCCAACCCAAATCGAGGAGAGCAGCAGGACCAGCATGCAGCAAAGGCAAATGACTGAGGACTCAGTCCCACCCTCGAGCACACGAGCGGGATATCGGACAAAACCAAATCCGCGCTCCTGCGATTAAAACAACCATTGGGAAAATTAAACCGAACCACACTCCACTAGATCTTACCCATGCATCGCCAGCACTTTCGCCACGACTACACGACACCGGGCACGTCATGGGCGGACATGCAGCAGCACACTTGCAGGCTCCGCGGACTAGCCAGGGGAATAAGGGATACATCCCGCAGCCAAAGGAAGCACCTCTACCGACCGTCTCCATAACACCTCTCGCTGACACGAAACCGGAGCGCGGGGCCCTCGATTCTATCCCCGTCACCATGGGTTGCGTCATACGTCTCACCAGAGGGGGCGGCAACCAGCTTACCTGAACCCAAATCATTCACCCGACGAGGATTCTCTTTACTCAAGGCAACGGCCTCCCAAAAGAGTCCGGTTCTTGGAACCTCCCACTCGCCGCTCTCATCCTGATAGTACGGGGCCTGCTGAAGCTCGAGCTCAGTGCTATGCTGAGAACCAGCATCACAGACCTGGCGCCGCTGCTCCCCCGCAGTCGCTGCGGAGCACAGGTCAGGCTCCCTTGCACATAGCGGAGGTACAGCATCTGAGTAGGGTGTGCGCCAGCCAGGGGATCCTTCACAGCCATGCTGGAGTTGAAGATGCTAAAATATGGAATGGCATAAAGTATGAGCGTAGGACGACGGGGCCGTTCGTGGGAAGATTCGCGTCGCGGGGCGCGATCATTAACATTGACGGGGAGGACTATGTCGAGTATCGCGTTTTAACGAAGCCATCCTTCTTGTAAGCAAGGATATCGGCGTCGACACATCCGAAAATTGTTAGGCACGGCCGAACCTTTCCTGTCGAGACTGAGACTGCCGCGACCAGGGCAAAGCATGCTGATTGGAGACATATGTCGCCATCAATGTGTAGGCGACACCCTCGTGTAATTCTTACCACGGGCGAGGCTACAAGCGCACCAAGTGACTTAAAAGCAGTACTTGGCGGCCTGTGACACCTGCGGCTTCAGACCTAGTAACCCGGGCCATGATCAACTGCGGCAGAGTTGATGGTGTAGCCACACTTTACGGGGGGCATAATTGAATTGCCGTACAAGGGCAGAGTTGATAGCGCGTATCGCGTGTTAGGGGTTGCGTGGGTTGCGTGTCCCACGTCGCGTAGAGCAGGCCTGCACGGCATAACGCAACCGCAACTCCGCATGGGACTAAATCCTTGGGCCAGTCTTGAATGGAATGATTGAGAGGATAGGGTCGGTCATATGGGGTGTGGTTTGCAGGGCTGCAGCTCGACGAGTACAGTGCCGATAGACCATCCTTTAAAATAGCGTTGCGCATAGAACGGGGGAGCCAATACAGGCACGGACCCCCGTGCCTTTAAGGGGCACGGACCCCCGTGCCTCCATTATGTAAGGCGACATTCAGCGCAGTGGCTCCCCCTAATAAATCACCTACGGGCTTAAGTCCTAGTGAACGTGTCGCAACGCGTAGACACAGCCAACAGCGTAGCCGAATGCTTCTAGGTTTTGACAAAGATACACTCGTCTGCACTACCGGCTACCGCATGCAAAGCCTCTTGCTCTCGGCAATCTTCCTCGACCCGTCGCCATATCTCTTTCATACCCCTTCTCGTGTTCGCGAGAGGATTGTCCCCCATTTCCCTCGCAACTTGCGCTTCCACGCGTTCGTCTTCTGCCCGACTCCAGTCTAAATATGCCATCTGCTCCTCTTTTGTCCAGCTTCTTAGCCCAGTCGAGGTTAGACAGCGTGCAGACATCTGCTTGTAGTCCAAGCACCATTTAAAACTCTGTTTGTCGTATCTTTGCGGAAGACCCATTGGCTTGCGGTTTGCTTGGTTGGTCTTGATGCTGCCGCGAGGCTGCGCCTTGTACCAGGCCTCCCGTGCCTTCACATACCTCTCATATATCACACGTGGATCGTCGTACCGTAGATGCTCAACGGCCGGGACAGCCTTTTCTGCAGATGGCAGAGACTCTGTGGTCGCTGGAGCGTCGACGAACGCTGTACTTGTTGTCGACTGGACATACTCCGCATCCCCTCCAACCGACGCGGCCTCCCCGGTTGGCGCAGCCTCTATGATTGTTGCGCTTCGCGTAGCCTCCGTTTGCACACCCTCTCCAATTGCTGTATTCGATGCATGTCGTGCATCATGTGCAGTTTGCGCAGCATTTTCATTCTCGGCAGCCTCTTCAATTACCGCAATTCGCGTAGCCTCGGTAGGATGTGCAGTCTCCGCAGTCTCTACGAATGTAGCTCTCGCTGCTACTTGCTCTATGAGCTCTGAGTGCCGTAGTGGGCAAACTCGGGACGTCATTGTATGTCCTTTCGTGTGACATCTGCTGCAGGTAGGGGCAGTCTTTACTTTTGGCCGTGCCTTCTCCGTTACCTCAAACAAACTAGGCCCGCGCCGAGTAGACGACTGTGCTGACGCTGATCTGCCGGTCAGCGTGTTAAATTGCCGACGAGGTTCTGTGATGAGTTCTGGCTTCTCGCTGCCGCGATAAAGCAGCCAATGGGAGTGGAAGTGATGGAGTTGAAGAAGGAGACAGTCCTCTACCAAAGGACGAAGTGTGTGAGCGCATGGGAGACCCTGAGTCCGAGTGAATGCGCCCGTGCAAGCAGGGATATTACTTTCAAGTCGTCTCCTTTGCTGGTCGACCTTGCGCAGCGCCTCATGAGAGACCCATCCACGTATGGTGCTGAAGAGTGGTCCAGATAAGTCAAGTGGCGTCCGTATTTGCTGACAGGCTTGGTTAGCGCGAAGGTCGGCGAGCTGGTTCAGCAGTGCCTGCTTGATCCCATTCCATGTGGTGAAAAGGTCTTGTTGTGAGTTCTTGAGATGCCCCTTCAAGTGCGTGGATGCCTTCAACCCGAGAAGTGACGTTGTTGCCAAAATGAGCATGCTGGTCAACCCAGGCCTTCACGAGCTTCTCCTTGTACAAGTCAAGCCACGTCTGCTTGATGTAGCTAACCTCGTCAACGTACTCTGGCACATAGCGTCTTTCAAGCTCGTCAAGCCGTCGGTTGTATGCTTCTTCGTCTATGGAATTGACGATTGCAAACCAGTACCCGAAGAATTCCGTCCATTTCTCAATGCTTTGCTCGTCACCCTCGCGGCGCACGAACGCAGGTCTGCAGTAGGCCAGTACTGCCTTATTTGCGTGCCAGAGACATAGAAGGGAGATGGATCCGGGAAAGCAATGAGCCACAGCGTTCATGCAAGCAAGACAGCGATCCGTAAGGACCACAGATGGATGTGAGGCGCCACACATGTCATACATGGAGCGTAGCCGATCCAATGCCCAAATGAAGTCTTCTTCGGCCTCGCCGCTAAGGAAGGCGAGAAATTGTTCTGGTGTCCATAACGCATCCCAAAATGCACTTGATGCATCAGAACGCGAGAGCCAAGATAACTATGGATTGTACCCAAAGCCAGCCGGGTGCATTCCAATCAGACGCTGCCTCATTGTTGCCCGATGAGACAGAAGTCGTCCTCGGAGCATCCGATGCAGTCTTTGTCACGGCAGTTAAATCCAACGTAGTCGTCGGTGTCACGACCATGGCGGCAAGGCTGCTTGCCACGGCCTTGACATTCAAGTCACACGGTTTCGGATCCTGTGCCGCATCATTTGCAAAATGAGCGCAGCCGGTCTGGTTTGCCTCAACCTTAACCGCCGTCCCCGGCTCGGGACACCCCTCATACCTTTGAATGGCATCCCGCGGCAATATTGCCTCTGGCTTCAACGTAAATCTGACTGTGCCTCTCCTCTCCGGAAATGCCCCTCCATCGATTCTGAAGCCGCCATCAGGTCGATCCGTGCAGTTGGTTACGAACCTGAATTCCCACGCCAATGTGCATTCATCCTTGTCGCCGTCTCTCCAGGACGGAAAGCTATTTCCATTTCCATACTTGTCCGCCAGTGCGTCCGTGGCGTTGATATAGAAGAAAGGGTCTGCGAGCGGTGGCAGCTCGTTGTCGCCTTCGAGCTGGCCCCGACCGAATAAGGTCCGGTTCGTACAGTCGACGGCCCAGTAAAGCTCTGTAGAGAACGAGAGTAGCACAGGGCTGTTACGGAGACCTAGGATGATAGGAAACGGTGCCGCAACGCCGTAGGTACTGTTGCGAGGGAAGACAATTGAGATATCGCCCGTCGCAGGAAAACGAACTTGGTCCGCAGCCCGAGCTAAGACCGCCATGGCCAGTGCGCTGAGGTGCGTCAACTGCATCGCGAGAAAGTCTTGGGGTGAAGTCGTGATTGAAGCTGCTCGCCCAGAGTGGACGATCAAAATACCAATTCGATCCAGAACAGATATTCACGGACCAGTCCGCTGCGCGGTGCAAATGATGACCCGCTCATGACTGCCAACGGTCAGCGCCAGCCCCCGTCCAGCTAGTCCAGGACAGACATGGCGGGGTTATGGTATGGCTCGTGACGTGCTCGTCTTGCATAAGTCCTACCACACCATGTTATCTGCCACTGTTTGACAGGCGGCGCAGAAGGTCAAGCCAACCAAGAGAAGAGTTCAAGAGTTGCCAAAGGCTTCGTGGCACCGTTTGCAGCCGTGGATACTAGTCAAGTGTGTGGCGGTAGGGATTGGGCTTTGTATCTGCCGGACTCAATCCACAATGATCTGCAGGGCAAGGTTGCCCGCTGCATCACAAGGACGTCGAGAAACCGGCACGTACAGTACCGTAGCTGCGCAATGTAAGTAAAGTACTGTATCAGACAATACACGCCCCTCCCTTGCATTCCCACAGCGGCGGTAGCCCTGTTGCCCACCACTAACTTAGAACACCCATTCGCGGAGTACGTACCCAACCCAGACAGCAAGAAACTGAGCCGCATAATAGCGGGCGTCTCACAACCTTGCAGGTTCTGCCCCGAAGTCAGCGGCAAAGACGGCGCAGGCCTCGTGATTTGGAGTTTGTCGGACGAAAGCCCCTAGTATCCGCTCTAGGGGCGGGCTTGGGTGAGATGTGGATGTGCGACGCACGCCGTCGTGAGGAGGGGGTTGGTGCCAGACAAATTGACCCACGGTTGTCCATTTTTGGCATCAGTCAATTGATGAGAATATTATAAAAGGCCAGCTGTAGGTGGACGACATTGCGCAGCCCTTTAACCGCCCTTTAACCTTATACACAAAGGAATTTCCTGCTTTGTAAAGCAGAGCCATGACCATGGCTGCTGGTCATGCTGGAACCCGCCCGTGTTTGAGCTTTGACTTCGACGGGGGTGATCCAAGCACCACGCATGCAGGTGCTGCTCCGCGTTAATACGCGGGTTGTAGCATCGGAATTCCGTGGGCAACCAGGCCGATTCTATGTACTATACGACGGTGGTCTGGCTTTCTGTGCGATACTTAGGCATTGCCCCCCTTATGTGGATGCATTCGGCCGCGCCCTAGCGGGGTGACCGTGTACTCCGGTTCCGATCCGGCATATGTTTCGTTCGTCCGGCACATTCAGAACACTCACGGTGACATAGGCGCGCTTGTCAACTCGCTTGCGTCCTCTGCACGTTTCAGCACGTCCCTGGCCTCCTTCATGACCGGCCCAATGCACTTCACGTTGCGCCTCGCCTCGTCCATCAGCTGCGCGCCCGTATGCCCATACCTCGCGTTCCTGGTGACGTATTCGCTCGTTTTGCCCGCCATCAGCACCCACAGCGCCCGACACGTCGGGAACTGCTCCTCGAGCAGCACCACCGCCGTCGCCGCCGTTGCTAGCAGCCGCCTCGGCTGCTCAAGGAGCTTATCCCCCGCCAGGTACTGCCGCAGCGCCAACACCACCCCGAAGAAGGACAGCCCAAGGCTGCTCTTGAGCTCCTCGTCGTCCCGGAAGTGGAAGCTCCCGTCCGATCGCTGGAAAGTAAGCATGCCCCGCACGAACCCCTCCGCCGCGAGCTCCTCTTCCGTCTTGGGTACTGACCGCCCGCTGTCCATGAAGAACGTCGATGCTGACGGGTTGTAGGCGGGTGCCGATGCCATTGGAGGCAGGCACGAGGACGTCGTCGTCGTCGTTGTCAAATAGCTGGTCACTCGCGAAGGCCCCCTCGGGCCGGCACCCAAAGCGGTCCACGAGGGGGCGCTGGGGGCGGGCCCAGCCGCTCCGACGACCCCGCACGGCGCCATCGGAATGCCTTTCCGGCCGGCGTAGCTCGTCGCAGGCAGCATTGTCCTCGGCCCGGGACTGTACAGTTCAGGCCTGGACGAAAAGGAAGTCGATCCTGCCCCGCTCGTGCGCCTCGCTTGATGTCTAGCAGTGCTGCTGGTGTACGTCTCGAGAGTCTGCGCATACCCCCTTTTCGTAACCTTGGATTTTGCTGGAGGAGTGTCAGAGCGTACAGATGGACTGAGCCGGCTTTTGGCCCGATGACTTACTCCCAACGTGATGGTCCTGGTAAACCGGCTTGGTAGAACGGCTCGCGACTGGCTGGACGATCCACGGATAAGTACTGGACCTGTCGAGCGGCGGCTTCTCCTTGCTCGCGGTCGACTCCCATTCGTCCAGCGAATGTTCCGCCGCAGCAGACGCGTTATCCGCAGACGGCGCGGAACGAGCGTTCTGCAAGTTCGTGCAGTGGGCTGAGCCACTGTCGACGCCGATGGAATTGTACCGGTTTGGAGACGCATCTTTTTGACCAACTGAATAGTTTGTAGGTCTCGAGCCTACCGGGCGCCTCCCACGTGTTTTCACCTTCACGACACCATCGGAGATCTTGGCTGCCGCTGCCGCATCCTGAAGTTGGCCGGCCTCGAAAGTGGGCATGGCCAGCAGCTGCTAGTTGCCCATGCCCGCTGTGGTGCGAGCCGCTGGCCAAGCCCCCGTACTCTTTTTTCCCTTCCAGAAACACGTTTTGCGCCAGGGCCTGAGACTTTGCCAGGTCTTCACCCACCCAGCTCCTTGAGATTGCACACAGTACATTGGACTTTACTCTAAGTTCCGCGCCGTGCTACCGGGTGAACAAACCGCTCGTAGGTAGTCCTAATACTTATTTGCGTCGTCCGTAATCCATCCCGAGTCGTAGATGCCGAGCTCTTGTACCTCGGGCGGTCTACTAAACATATGACTGGCTTTGTCGGTGTTTGCGGCTTGTGTTCAAGGCCCGCGCTGGTAATACCCCCGAGATGGAATATGAAGTCGTCCGCCGCCTTGAGGCTGGCGAGCGCAGGCCATGAGAGGGGACACTCTGTGGCCTGAGAGTTCAAGTTGAGGAAATTCCCTCGCTAGTCATCCTGATGGTACTACTGTGCATATGGCTGACACCTACGCGATGTTGATAACGTTCAAAGGGCAGCAATTGGCCGCGCATAGAACTTGGTCTACCGCATAGTTCTACGAGCTTGAAAGCAACTGACTGGCCGAATTTGTTGACAGGCAGTGGCTCACTGAAGTATGTCAATAGATTTTGACATGGTACACCGAAAATTCCTTCTGCCGGTATGCCCAGTATCATTCATACCGCCACACAAATCAAGACGATAGCAAACTGCCATGAGTGGCGTCAAAATCCAATGATGGGAGATCCGCACAGGTGATGCCGACATTGGAACAAGGAAGGAACTCCAGGGGCATCAAGAAGAGATCGAGAGTCTCGTGAACGCTGGCGTTGCTGGTCGTACCGTTGCTTGAGTGGTCCGAGATCATTTCGGAATCTTGGCTGGGTGTATCCAGCAGGCAGGTTGATGATGATGCCACCGGAATGATCCGCCCCTCGAATGCGGTGGCGCCAGCGAATGTATCCAGTTCCAAGTAAATGCTTGGTGACAGAGGGCTTTCCAGCTCATGGCTGATCGTTGAGAGAGTTGGGGAGTTGGCCTCGGTGTTCATGGTGCAGTGCGTGAATCTCTAGAAAGATGTAAGGAGGAAGTTTGAATGCGGCTTGGGTTGGGAGGGTGTGCCGCTTTTATACATATTTTGGAGCCCCTTGGTGTGTCACGGGCGGTCAACCTCCTCGCGGTCGGGCCACGGGGTTGGTCACGGGGTACAGCCGAGCTCGAACAACCCGAAGTCCACCTCGTCGTAGTCGTGGCACCTGCCAGTGACCCAAAACTCCTCGTCGACATGACGACCAGGTGTCTGCTCCCGCTATGGTTCGAAGTGGCCATTGTCAGGCTCATCCTCTAGCTTTCGTCTCTTCCTCGGTGCAGTCACCCCGTCTTCCGAGCATGCTCTTTTAGCGCGTTTCTCTCTTTCTGGCTTCGGTTTTGACCACAAGTTCGGCGCATGCTGCTTGCCGTGAAAACGCAGGACATGGTTGCTCCATGCTGCCGGCAATGCACTTATTCGTCGGGCCTCCCCGATGCGCTGGCATTTGGGGCAGTCGAATGGCTCGCGGAAGGTATCCTCGTGGTGCTTTCGAACATGTCTGGTCAGGCTAGAGACGTTGGCGTATGCATAGTGGCAGAGTAAAGATCCCGAAGGAGAGGCAAGCCGCTATTCTATCTAGAGAATTGCTATACGGGCGTGACCCTTACGCGGGCATGACTTTTGCGACATTTGATTGGACAGCCGCCAGGTACATTCTTGACGAGAAATTAGTACCTGAAACCTTAGCAAACGACTCTTTGACGGTTTTAGACAGGCCGGCCGTCCAAATTTCGGCCGCGCAGCGCTTCAAGAAGGTCATGTAAGATTGACTTCATAACTCAACCAGGCAAGCCTCTGTATTTCTATTGTCTGACCACTATGGAAGGAAGAACCTCGTCATCGCTGTCGTTGTCCAAGAGCTCCCATTGACTCTTTCGCCTCCGTATGCTTGGCTGTGTCCTGCGTCCGCTCGCACGTACTCCTGTTGTTTTTCCCGCTCTTAGCACAGACGATTGGCTGCGCGTCTGGCGCTGGGATGGGTGTGTCGCTTGTTGAGTGGCCTGGCCGCTGGCTTGCTGAGTCACAGCATGCCTTGCCCGTGTCGTGCCGTGCTGACTCCATGCACTTTGCTTTGGCCGTGTCGGGTTTCTGAGTTGCTTACGAGCTGTGCCCGTCTGGCTGCCCGACCCGATATCTAGCCGCGCCGGAACAGTCTGCGAAGTGTTCTTGGGCCTTCCGCGAAGAGCAGTGCTAATCTTGGGGTCGAGGATTCGCCGGTATCGATCTCGAGAGGCTGACTCTCGTAAGTGCCAACGTGGATGAACGTCCCACTTAGTAAAATGCGTTCCCTCGTCCATCTTGGCATAGATTTTATGACAGCAAGGGATGCCAAGTTCTACCGAAACTGAGCAGCCCTCATCACACTCTCCCAAATGCACGGGGAGCGGATCATTTCTTGTCGACATTGCCTTCTCTGCTGTCCGATGTTGCCTTGCGATCAGCCCAATTGCCTTGGACGAGATCGTGGTTCGCAGGTCTCCCAGATACTCTGAGCTTGAGCCGAGATACCTGCGGTCAGTCAAAACCTCGTCCTCTGCGCTAGCGTGAGCGAAGTCCCGCTCCTGGTCGCTCAGCATGTCCTGGATCGCCTCGACTAGCCGATAGAGATTGCTCATGCCATTCAGAAGGTAGCTCTTGACGTTGTTATTGCTCGCTTCTGTGCCAGACGTGACCCGAATGCCAAAGTTGCGATATTTGCGGATAAAGCACCGCGCCCACTGAGCCCTAACGGGCATGTACGTTCCATGGAGGTATTGTAGGATAGCCCGCTGGTCATCAAATTCCCGGCATAGCTCAGACCACGCCTTCTCATGAGCTTCTTGGGTCTCAGCGAGCATGACATGCTTCCACATCATGAGCACCCCACGGTAGCTATGAGGAATATCCTCCGCCACTGGCTCGTGGATGAAGCGCCGGTCTTTGGGGCTGAGCTTTGCGCGCGCTTGTGTGTAGGCTGTGTTCTCATCGCGGGCATCATCGCTGCTAGTACTGCTGTCAGGCTCGGCGTCCGTGACCCACTTCTGCTTCGCCTTAAGCAGGACGTTAGAAATGATGTGATGGATACACAGCTGCTGTTGTGCCTCTGGGAACTGGTCATTCAGGGCGGCTTTCATTGCGTCGCCGAGCTTCGGCGCCTTCTCAGCCTTGGGGAGGTCGGTTATACGTAGTCATCGGATGAAAGCTAACCATGAGATCGCGTCGGTCGCATCGTTTCCCAAGGGATACTCGTAGACGCGAGTACAAATGAACCCCATTGCTGGAATCCAGCTGTACTAACAAAAGCGGGTCACGACCAATAAGAACTCGCAAAAGTCACGCCCGTGTAGCCAAAACGTCACGCCCGTATAGCAATTCCCTCTATCTAACCAGGGAGGCGGCAGCGCCATCCCCGTGCCGGCGGTCTTCATGTCCCAGCAGGAAATGCCGGTGATCGTGATCCAGAAGACGTACCAGGGCCTCAAGGGGATGAACGGAGGCGGATACACGGCGCCAGGCGTCATCATCGACAAGACCTCCCGAGGATACCGGGTTTCGGCCGGCATAACAATCCACTTCGGACCGTCGGCGAGCGTGAGTCTGCATCGGAGACACGGGTCTGCACTTCGTCGGGATGCCGCTGGCAGGATCCGTTTGATGCTAATGAGCGGTTAAGTCAACCGGCAACGGAAGCGGCCGTGGCACTAGGGCGATGTCAGTCGGAAAGGATTGCCGTGCACGTCGGCCTCTGCGTCGACCTACTACGAAGTCCAAGGCAGGTCGCTCGATCTGGGGGCCGCCGGAGCTGCGAGGCACGCGCGCCGCGAGCGTGGGGGTGGGGTTGGTGCCGCCGCAGTGCGACCCGTACAGCTTGTACGCGCAGCTGTCACGTTGCGAGGCGTTCGACGGCTGAACCCTCGCGTCGAAATTGCGGGACCTCGTCGGCAATCTAGTGCCACAAGAGATGAAAGCCGCCCAGGCCTGGCTGCAAGAAGTGAGCGACGAAACGCTGCGGGCGGCCCAGGGCTGGATTGGCGACGATCCTTTGACAGCACCAAGTCAGGCCGACGACAAGGAACAGGTCACGACTAGCATTGGTCGGTGGAGAAGTGCAGAAGGTGACATGGGAGAACTGGGGTGGAGAGCGCCCAAGCGGGGGGAGCCGAGCTGCTGAGAAAAGCCGACATCAGGCTAGCCGGAAGAGCCCTGAAGGTCAGAGAGGACGAAGGCAGCTGGGACTGGTGGCATGTAAACAGAGGGAGGGACCCAATCACGGGTTGCACAAAAAGGCCTTGAGGAACGAAGAGGCGATTGGAAGTTTGAACAAAAGCTGAAAGCTGCCATAAACTACAGGCGCTAAAGCGGTGGCAAGGTCGGTGTGTTTGGGGGGGGGGGGCGGATCTGAATCGATAGTGAGAGCTAGCTGGGTTGCCTTGTTTGGGTGCTGGCAGGTGCATGGATGGTACGCTTTGGCAGGGGAAAAGGGCACAAGTGTGGTAGAGCCAGCAAAAGGGAAACAAATTTGATGGTAACTTTAACGGCCGCTGGGCCAACGGACAACTTTCGCCAGGGAGTTAAAGGTGAGACCGGATAAATCAATGGCGATTGCATTCCGGAGAGGCATCGTGCATGGCAGTGCCGGAGTCATTTTGCAGGGCCGGCTGACATTGACGCTCACGGACTCTGTTGGACTCGCGTACTCTGATTCCGTGCTGTAATTGGGCGCATTGTCCGGAGGTGCTCCGTAATAGACGCCGAATCTAGTGTTGTGATTGGCTTGTGACTCAGGCATTTCTGGTGGTGAAATCATTCCGACGTCAACCCAAGAGGATGACGGACGATTCGATAAATAATGAAGCTCGCGCAAGCCATACGTCCCGAGCGTTGGGCTTTTGGTCCGTACACTCTTAATATCTAGCAGGCTCGCAGCTATGACACGAATAACCCTAGAGAAAGGCCATGTCTTGCGACCATTACTGCCCCGACTGCTCCCAGCGGGGGTGAATCCTCCTGCATCGGACGTCGTCGTGAAGCGACTTCAACAGAATCGTCGGAGATTCAATATTACTCGCGTCGCATGCGAACCGTGCCGAAAGCGCAAATCCAAGGTATAGTATTCATGTAGTCTTCAAGTCGAGTGTGAGGGTACGTTTTGAGCTAATTCGGCTGACCGACACTTACTCTAGTGTGATGCTCAGCATCCAACCTGCAGCGGCTGTGCCCGTCGCCAAGTAGATTGCCAGTATGAGACATTGAGAGCTGGGGGAAGCCGGTACGAGGCATTGAAGAGGTCATACGAAGACGCAAAGCACGATCTTGCAGCCTATCGATATTTGATCCATGTTCTTACAACCGCATCGGAAGAGGTATCCCAGGCAATTATCCGACGGATTAAGACTAGCGCCAGTATACCGTCTATACATCGCTCTGTCTTGGAAGCTAGGCTGGTGCTCGAGGTACGTGATAGTAATCGGGATAGACGCGCATGCGCGCTCCCGTGATATGCTCGGATCTCAGTAGGAGCATATGGCCCAGACAATAGATCGGGGCGTGAAGATACGTGTTGCTTGAGTCGCTGCGCATATGAAGTGAGACGCAGCGCGAGATGGCATGCTACTGTGGGCATGCCGTTGTGATTGATGCTAGAACGACAAAAGGAGCAATGCTTGGATTGTGTAGGATCATTTCTGAGACGACACTGGGGATAGAGACTGCTGCATTTAGCACCTTCGGACTGTCCGGAGTTTCTGTCCGCATCCCACATTCTGTCGGTACTATTCTTGGTGCCTGCTACGAGGTAGTCAGTCCTTCGTGCGTTGCCCATGTCCCGGCGCGGAGTGTAAAGTCCGAGTCTATTCCCAGTCCGATCGAAGCGTGGTGACATCAAAATGTCGTCTTTGCGTTCTCTTATAAGGCCCATATACGAGCAGCCCTTCCCAACATCTGCCACAAAGCAACATGGATCATTTCTGAGCCTTCCATGGGCATTCTGCTACAATCGTATACGCTTTGAGGGGTACAGGCCGCCAACAAGAAATGGCTCGAAGCGACACGGCGAAACTCTCACGTGACAAGGTGAGACTTGACAGCAACGCAAGAACTTCGACGGACAATAGTGACGACACGTGGTTCACTTGGTGCACGTGCCATGATCAAATCGATACTTGCAAATTAGACTGCCTAGAGCGCTTGCCCACCGGCCCGCACGAGAAGTCATGGGAGAGTCTTGAGGCAGAGTTGACGGACCTCACGAAGCACGAACAGCAGAACGACGCTCTACTGGGCGCCCTGTCGACTTCTGCCGATAACGATAGGCCAGCAGCGCATGCGTCAGCTAAGGTTGACACCACCCCGGGGCTCCCATGCTGTTTTCTCTGGTGCTTTCCTGGTCTTGCCTCCTCCACGTCCTCGTTCCTCTAGGGAGCAGGCTGTACAGGCCATGTTCGCTCATCAAGTCGACGATCGGTTCGGCCTCTCCCTGCCTCCCGGTCGCAACATTATCTCCCGTCCAAAGTAGGTTGTGTCGATTGAAGTCTCCCATCAGCACCACGTCAGTCCGTCTGCCTGTGCCGTCGCGGAATGATCGAATGAGGCCATGCAGCGTTTCCATGGCAGAGAGCAGCATCTGCTCGCTATTTCCTTGCACGTACACCGACACGACCAGAATGTCCCTCTCTGACAGCCGAAGCATCGCCGCCGTAAGGTCCGCTGAGGGGACCGCCAGCTGTTCTGCCTCGATGTCGCTCCGCACCCAAAGCATGCTTCGGATCGGCCAGCGCGCATCGTGCTTCTGCGTAGGTATCATCTTCGTCCAGTTGTTATGCCACATCGGGCTCGTCACGACCTTGTCGTCAACCAGCCTTGCATAGGGCTCGGAGACCGCCAACACTCCGTAGCCTTCGAGTGTTTCATCGTTCATCAAGCTTTGCTGCGCCGGCTCTCGCTTTTGCACATTGAGCTGCAATATTCTCAAGGTTTCACTCATCGCTGCGAGTACTCCGCATACGACGGTTTCGACCAAGGGACTCGTGCGGTCCGCCACACGGCACGCATCTCGGCTCCACCGCCTGGCACTCCTAACGCTGGTGTCCTGACATTGCACACCTCCCGCATGCTTGTGCATTCTTGCATTGGAATGATTTAAGCCCGATGGCCTGGCAGTTGTAGCATTGCACTGGTCCGGAGCGTCGCTCGAACACGTTCGTGGTAGCCGACTCGCCGGCCAGGTCGAAATAATGGCCGTCAATGAGCCGCCTCGCGTCGCTCTCCTTGGTGACGTAGACCACCATCGATCCGTATGCTTTTCCCGATACTTTGTTGCTCAGCCAAGACAACTTGGCAATATTGACGCTGTTTTCTGCGCCAAGCGCCTCGGCAGCTCCCGGTAGCACAGTCCCTTCTGCGTCCAGCACCATGCTCCTGTTCGCATTGTCGCCCTTCACTGGAAAGAGCTGATCGCGCATGACTCGCGCGCCGACGACGGCTGTCTTCTGCGCAGCCTCCCTGACCTGGCTCAATTCGTTTTCGTCTCTGCAGATTATCTTGATGCGCTCCGCAGCCCGAGCGTCCTTCAGGACCGCCGCGCACCGCCACGTTGCTAGGCCGTCCCTGGCCCTCATCTCCAATTCTATGGCCTGTCGGACGGCCCCGACCTGGGCCTGGTTTCGATTCGCTTCCTCTACTCGCGACGTGTCGATTGTGCAATAGAGCTCGCTGGCAGGAGAGGTGTTGAACGCTCTGTCGGGCGCAGCCGTTGTGGGCTGGGACGTCCGTTGCGACTGCACTACGGCGGCGAACAATCGCGACGGGGTAGCGGGTGCCCGAGCAGCGACGGCGTCGAGTTTGTCGTGCAGTGCCTTGGGCTCCTCGCCCATCTGCTGCTTTGTGTCCTCCAGCGCGAGCGTCAGGACCCGGATGAGTTGTTGCTGTTCCTGGGACGTCTCTTTCAAGTCTTGGATCGTTTCTTGCTGGGTGCGGATAACGTCGCTCTGCCCACGGATCATTTGCTTGAACCCCGCGAACTCTGCACGGCAGTCACCTAGAAGCTGCGAGACGTGATGGAGCGCCGCGGCCGCGTCGCCGCCGTTGCTGCCTCCGTCCTCCGCGCCGGTCCCACGGCCGGCCTCGGTCGCCGGCGCCGTTTTCCCGGTCGTTCTCGTCGCGTATCGGCCATTTCGACTCGATTCATTTCCCGAATCGTCCATTTTCCGCTTCACGAACCCGACGCCCCGTTGGGGTCAGGCTACCCCGCGGCCCCACCACGGTCCTGCGCTCATCTTGCGAACTAGCCCTCAACAACACGCTCCTTTCTGATTGAGATAGAAATAGAAGTCTTTGAGAATTTCTCTAAGCCTCCAGGACGCATTCAGGACGCGTTGGAGATGGTGGGGCTGCAGGGAATCTGTCGCTGGCGCCTCAGGCAGCAAGCCAGCTTTGGCCGCTAACCTAGACAACAGGCGAGAACCAGCCGCCATACAACCCGATCCAGCAGCATCTTTGTGCATTAGAAACAGCAGCCTAGCACGTCCTTTGCCCCAATAGGGGCTTTCAGCTATTACTATAGCTCCCGGACGTTAAATAATTATCGTATCGTATCGTATCGTTGCCATACAACCTGATCAAGCAACATCGTTGTACATTAGAATCAGCAGCCTAGCACGTCCTTTGCCCCAATAGGGGCTTTCAGCTATCACTATAGCTCCCGAACGTTAAATAATTATCGTATCGTATCGTTCCCCGTGAGGGAACGCGGTCTCCACGCACATGTGCGAACTTGCGGATCATGATCGGTGGCCGAACGCACAATGGCTAGTCGACGACTGTTTTCGGCCACTATGGAAGGACTGGGAGTTGCTGCGAACATTGCCACCATCCTGGACTTGTCGACTAGGATCGCGTCGCCATGTCTACAGCATTCCAAAGAGGTCAAGAATCCCAAACATGACATCGCCAAGCTCCGCAGGCACGTTCTGGACATCCAACACGCGGCAGAAGCAATCCATGTGCTGCTCGGAAGACCAAGCAGCCGGGGACTAATGGTTCAAGAGCCCGCGAAAGATGCGACGGGAGCGGCCCAGCTTGAGCGTCGAGAGTAATTTCATTCCTAGACGCGATTCTACACCTGTTACTCAAGTTACTGAGCTGTCGTCACGACGAAGCCAGTCGCAAAGCCGCCCACAAACCGGCCACGACAGGAAACACCCCAGTGCCTGTGATTTACGAGACTCGGTGTGTGGCTGAGTGGTGGCCCGCAGACATGGATGACAGACGGAAATCACTCACCGACCAGGCGAAGGGGGTCGGCAGGAAGAAGGCGCTCGCAACAAAAGCAAGGTGAACGGCCCATACCGCGTCGGACGCGAAAGGCCTTGCGACAGGAACCAAAGAGCGCAACGGCACGACATCAAGCCGAGAGAGGTGATTAGATAGAGCCTCCACCAGTGCAGAAAATCCGGTGCGGCAAGTCGGGGAAGGCCCTGCCGAGCTCCAGAAGCTGCGACTTTGGCCTGAGTTTGGGCGAAGGGCCTAAGGACCCCTTGGCTCACATACAATGTCCTTCTCGGGCGAGTCTAGACGCGCGTTGGGAGCACCGGTAATCAACTTACTCAGTTTGCTCAAGGCGTCTGAAGTAGACATATACCGAATACAACTCGAAGAATAACAGTCGCGGAGATGCCATAATTAGTCTACTGAATCAGTACCTCGCAAAGGGACGCGCTCGAACGACCTCAGAAGCCGCTCGCAACTCTATTTCTCAGGCATCGAGACGGCGCCCTTGCCTTAGGCAACCAGTGGACTGTATGGCTGTTGGCTTGTGGCTTATGTCCGAAACGCCACCGAAGAGGAAATTCGCCTGCTCTGCCAATAAGATGCGGATACTTCACCGCTTGCTTCTCGTTACATCGAATCCTGGCGCCCAGTGAGCCAGTATGAGATTGCTTTTTCGACGCCAAAGTCTGAGCCACGGGAGAACCTGCAAACGGCCGGCCCTTCGGCGTCCAGGACAACGGAGCTTGGATCGCGTTAAGGCTCATCGGTACTGTAGGCCGTTGGTCATGCTTGGTAGGGCCACCAGCCATTTGGCGACCCGAAAGACAGGGCAGCGGCACTCTGGTGCACCGCCGCGAGTAAGCTGTCAGCCAATCAGCCCATCTGGCATGTGGATGAGTGCAGAACAGGTATCACCGCCGATCACCCTGGTCCCGACTACCAGGATCCTGGGTTTCATACACCACGCAAACTGGTGAGAGCCCCCTTTGGCGACCGTACGGGTGTTGAATAGAAATGGCGCGCACATAGTGTCCATCTAGATGATACATTGCACACCAGAGACAAGTCGTGAACGGGAAGGGAGCATTCTTGGCGGTTTCGATGAACGAACCTGCACAGACTGCATTTGCGCGGCCAGAGGCCAGTGGCCTGAATGGCCCGCACTGCACAAGGGAAATTACAATATTGCTTTTTTCCACGGGCCGGATGAGCTTTCGCCCGGCATGCTTGATGTAACTAATATCTGGTCATAACCAGTCTGTGCATTGCGCTACCTTTCTGGTTTTCCTACCCACCCATATCTAGGCGCACAACGTGTCCTGACGAGATATAGGACTCCTGTCTGGCCTGTCTATGACCACCTTCTGGCGGCGGCCTCCGCGCAAGGTGAGCTCTATCTTCACGGCCCATTACTGGGGTGAATATAGGCACCATCCAAGCCAAATGGAAAACCAGTCTCGAAGCGAGTCACAACAGCTGAGTCGTCATGCCACGCAACGAGTCACCAGCGAACACGGTCATGAGGGATGTCGACTCCGGCGACGACAGCGGAGTGTATTATCTCCTCATAAGCTCGGTAAGTGCAAAGCTATCAGCACATATGGTTTAACCTATGCTGTCTAAACTTCCAGAGGTTAGTTGCCCTTCGGCACCAGGTGGCAAGCCTTCAAGGACTGGGTTCGAGAGGGTGGTTGTGAGGTGGATCATGTCGAGGTGTTCCAAAAGTCAACAAACGGATGGATTCGACTCATTGGTAGGGAGAACTTCGATCTCGCTTTGCGTAAGGCCCCCTTAACATCTATTTTGTCTAGATTTATGTCTCTCACAGCCATAGGCACGGTGCTGACACGGGGAGGTACACAGGTCATCTTAGAACCAGACCATTTGCTGGCCGAGAGATCATCGTCGACGAAAGGAATAAGAGAGAGCCTATCAAAATCCTTGAACTGATTGACGATCCGCCGCCAAAACCTAGGTTCGGTGGAAGCTTTCAGCGGCCGCACAAAACGGCGGACCCGGCCTTTGCTGCGTCTGTCGGTACCCACGCCGAGTTGAGGCTGTTCTCTCTGCTCGCAAAGCCAAAGATGGCATTCGTTAACGGGGATCATCGCACGGAGCCGAGAGCGTCCCAGTGTCCGAGTACCACTATTCCCCGACTGCACAGCCAGCCTGTAATGCACTCTACGCCGGTGGGCAACGCTATGGCGTCAATTTGTGCCAGTTCGCACCGAGTGCATACGTCGCCGGTAGAATTGCAGGACTGCATGTACACGGTAACGGTTGATATGCCAAGGCCCATGACCGGGTTCCCCTTTAAATATGGCTTGCCGCATGCCGTTAGCCTTCGATTTTGTGAACCACCCCCGGCGAGCTCTGGCATTCATTGCATCCCGCCGTTGTCGAGGTCCAAGCTGGCGAATTGGCATTACGAAGGCAGCAACGCAAGCGGGCGCTCAGGTCGGGTCAGCTACGGCGATGCCGCATCAACAACAGCAATGGCAGCTGGGCCAAACTATAACATGCCTCAGCGGGCAGATGATGGATACTACACGCTGCGGCCTCTGTCACCAACATTTGTTGCTTGTAGGGAGCGTCTGAAAGGGGCCGGGTCCAGTGAAAGGCCACTGGAGCACAACTGCAACCCCCCGGTTATGGTCAACACCAAGGGTGCACCTGCGCAGGTTGTTAGAACTAGAAACATCCCTGCGCCGACTAAGTACGCGCCTCCTGTAATTGCCCATGGAACCAACTACAAGCCACCGAGGTAGTTTCGCTAACAGATGGCTCTGATTCTCGATACCTCACGCAATATCTGGATATGTCTTATTTACAGGGCCAGCGTTGTTGAGGATGCCACAGTAGACTCTCGTAGTCTTCCACGAAGAGATGGCCTGCACCTTATCGTATACGGCGGAGTTTCCAGTCGTCGCCGCTCGACGTATAAGCAGCGACCAGCGGCGTCTGAACAGGCAGATGAACGACAACTGGCTCGCATGTTGCGGATGATTCAGGATCTGGAGGTTGTCGAGCCTGGCAGCAGGACCACACCAGCCATGGGGCAATTTGGATGTCGAGGGCGTCGCGAGCATTTGAGGCTCTCCGGAGTTTGACGGCTGCTGCGTAGCCTCCTATCACATGCCTTCGATTTGTAGCCCATAAGGAAGCCAAGAGTTGACAAATGCAATTCGCCTCACGCTCTGTCCCGAGTGGGTAGTGGCAACCGCTCCTCCGACGCCTGATTGCCTCCCGCCATCCGCGACGATGGAA